ACCTTCTCATAACTCACACACACACACACACACACACACACACACACACACACACACACACACACACACATAGAGAGAGAGGGACAGAAAACACTCCAAACTAATTATGCTGAATCTTCCCTAATGGAACCGAGTTTGGATTAATGATGGTTATGGGAGTTCAAGACATTTTTCTCATCATTTGAGTGTGTGCATGTGCACATTTGTGCGTGAGTGTGTCTGGTATGAAGAGTGGGATATTATTAAGACCGTCTGGTTATTGGCTGAGCTAGAATAATGATGATAGCGGGGAGGGGAGGGGGGTGGGTGTTCCACTTAGAGCTTTCTCATTTCTCCTTGCACACCTACGCTTGCCTGGCTACCTTTTGCTCACATTATCAAACATCACGATGCAGGCACGGATGCCTTTTTTGGCTTATTCTAACCCTCCCCTCTTGTTGACTTTTGTTGTGGTTTTGCTTTGATTTAGAGGATATACGTCCTTGTCCTGCCTCATATGCTCTCTCTCTTAAAGTTCTTAAAGGTATCCTTCAATTTAATAAGGGCTGGCACTATCAAATACCGCATGTGCTTTCCTTTCATGTCAGTGAAGTATTTGCCACCCATCGTTATTGATAGCGCTGGCATCACTGCGGTTATTGGAGTTTCCGGCTTATCTGGGCATGGATAGGAGGTGTCTATCTTCATTAGGCCCGTCCTATCCCCCCCCCATGTCCTCATTTTTCGCTCCTGCTCCATCTCTGTCTTTCTACATTTTGTTCTCACTCTCCCCATAAGTCTCTTTTAAATGTCTTCTTTCCCCTTCACTCTCACTTAGCTGCATGTTTCCCCTCCACGCACGCCCCCAGCTTCTTTCTCACTCTTGTGATTTTTCAATATTTTATAATTCCCTGCCTCCCTCTTCCTACTTATAATTCTCTCCATTATGTTTACATTTTTCCTCAAATAGCTTCTTCACCATTGTCAGTATTTCATTAATAATGAGGATGTGGTAGCTAGCTTTGCTTGTTTGCACACAATAGGGGCTTTATCACAGTGTTAACACTCGTGTCAGGGTTGTAAATCTTTTCATTTTTGGGATGGAGTAGACGGAGTTTGGGTTTGCCCACAAGCTCCCCTGCGGCAGCACTCTGTGTACCGGCTGTACCGTGTGACTGCAACACCTCCCCTCCTCCTCACAGTTTGTATATGCACATACAGATAATGAGAGTGCATTTGCTGCGCACAGACACACATAGACACACTAAGTCGTAATGGATGATAAATGAAGAGCCTTTGAGGGGTGCACTGATACAGAAAATAATTTCATAAAAGATTTTTGATTAATCATGTTTCAGACACTCGAGGTCAGGCTCATTCCCAGTGTCTTCTTCTTCACAAGGGCAAACCCTCTCTGTGATGCAAAGACACAGCTGCATATTTCTGTCCAATCTAGGCCTCGTTTCCTTGTTCAGCCCAATCTGAGGACACAATGAGATTCTCTGTGTTGTGTCCCTCCATCTCTCTTTAAAAAAACCTGTGTGTGCGTGCATTAATGTGTGTGTGTGCACTGTAGACACTGGCTTGTGTGTCCTGCTGCTGTTGTAATTGAAGTTGTAACTCAAAGCTAGCTACAGTTCTGCTCTCCATGTATATCAGTGGCTAATGGTAGGAGCAGAGCCGGAGAGGCTCAGCAGTGCCGCCTCCTGAATACACACACACACACACGCTTACACACACACACAAACACAGGAGCCTTCTAGCCTGCACTTACTGAATGACCACTGTTCTCTGTGGTTTAATGAGCATAATGTGTTTTATGCTTATTGGCAGACCCCCTTTCAAACATGCACACAGGCACAATGCTCAATCTGATGTCTTTATGCTCTCCACTCTGTGCCAGCTCCTTTTGGGCCATTAATCTCCCTGAGCTCCCCTACCCTGACCTCCTGTCTCACCCCTTTCTTGTGCATCCTTTTTCCTGTTGGGCCAGCCTCCGTCCAGCAATCACTCTCTCAGACAGACAGACAGGCAGGAAGAGGGAAAGTGCAGTCAGTGTGTTCGGACTGATGGGAGAGAATAGGAATGATATGCAGGTTGCATGTCAACGTGCATGTGGTTGTGTCTGTTACGTGCACAGATCCCCATAATTAGCCCAGTCTTAATGATATTGTAGTGGGAGTTGGTAAGGGGGAGGAATGAGGAGTGGTAATAGTCCTCTGACACAATGGGATCATGGATACATGGCCGTCATTAGCATAGACATTAGACTCCTGGCGTCTGGAGAGGAGCTACTTTTCAGTCAGGGGAATCCCATCCCACATTTCTATCGACTAGCAGCCTTCTATGATCTACGCCCCCCCATGACAGAGGTCCAGACGGCTCGGGGTATGTAGCATTTTGTGTGTGTGTGTGTGTAGTTGCAGTGGTTGGCAAGGAGCAGCAATCCAGAGTAAGCTGTTCTGCTGGGGATCAAGGCGTGTCTAAAGCCCTCAGTCCTGACATGCTTGGGGTCCTGGCCGTGGATTAGCCCATGGCTGAGCTAATGCTAACGCTAAAGGCGAAGCAGGCAGCCATTAAGACTATAAGTCTTCTGGAGTGGAGCTGGAGAGACTGCCTGCTGCTTGCTGAAACCCCCCTAGGAGCATGTTCTCACTTTCTGTCTTTTACAAATCTCTCTCATCTTTTCCAGGCTCTTTTCCTCCCTCTGCAATCTCTCTCTCTCACTCTTTGGTGCTCTGTTTATAGGTGCATATGAATATCCGTTCAGTTTGGTGATTTATCCCTTAACTCTTCTACTTTACTCTCCATCCTGTCTTCTTTAGAAAATCCCATCCCTCTCGCTATGTCTATCATTTTACTATTATTCATTCCTCTTTTCGCTCTGTAACTCTTTCTCTCTGTTAAATGTCTCTTGCCAACTCTGGCCCCCATTAACTTGGGTTCAAGCATTGAAATCTGAGAATTTCAGCTCAGTGGTCATTAAGTTCATATAAGACCATATTTAAAAAGGTCCAAAAATGTTAGGCAGAGACTCCACCAGCACCTCTAGTGTCCTCACTTCATTTAGGCCTCATTAATGTTCATGAACCCACAGGTGAGGCTGCTGAATATTCATATGAGTGTCAGGCCATTAGACAGAATGTGTTCAGAAAATATGTTCATGCATATATCACCATAAGAGAGGTTATGATTGGTCGAAACAGGAATTTGATGAAGGGAAAAGAGAGGGGTGAAGTGGACCCTTGCAAGTTTTGTATCAAAAGACTTCACCCGGAGCAGCAGCATGAAACATAGATGAAAAATGAATTTAATTTCCTCTATATACAAAGACTAAAGGATAACATTCTTTGATATACAATCTCGGGCTGTATTCTCCTCCTCTGAACTATCGGCCAAGCAGTTCTCCTAGCTCCTTTGAAGTCATCCTAACGTACGTGTGTGTGTGTGTGTGTGTGTGTGTGTGTGT